TTTTAAAAAGTCCGTTGTAAGTTTAATTATTGTTTCTTTAAAGATCAATTCTATTTCCTCTAGCTGCTCTTAAGATTTTTCTCTTTGTCTTGGGATTTTAGCAGGGTTTTTTTTTCATGACATGTCTATGTGTCAACTGTGTAGATTTAAAAAAATTTATCCTGATGGAGATTCATTAGTTCAAATATCATTTCTGCCCAGTACAGTCCTTTCTTTCCTTCTGGAGTTCCATTTATGTGTATATTAAACTTTATCACGGTATCTTCCGTGTGCTTTTCCTGTTTTCTGTATTTTTTATCCTTTTTCTTCTTTGTGCTTCATTTTGCATATTTTCTTATGATTTATCTTCTAGTTCACTAAATCCATCTTTATTTGTGTCTAATGTGCTATTATAGCATTGAGTTCTTATTTTCAATTAGTGAATTCATTGTTCTAAAATTTCATCTGATATTTCTTTAAGTTTCTAGTTATCTGCCTAAATTTGTAATCTTGTGTTTTATTTATGTATACATAGAAAACATTTGTTATTTTTAAATCTGCATTTGATAATTTCACTTTTTTTGTTTTTGTTCTGTGTTGTTTCTGCTATGTTTTTCTTGTTTCCTTGGGTGACTGATTATTTTTTATTGTGTACTAGACATTGTATTTGTGAAATTGTTTATAGAAATGATATTACTTTCCTCCACATAGAATTTTATTTGTTTCTGCCAAGTACTTGAGGATAGGAACTCAAAGGAATGGCCTGAATCCAATCTTGGAATTGAGATTATTTAAAATAGATGTAGCCCCTTCATTTCTAGGATCTAGCCATTTGGATTCCCAATCCAAAGTAATGGGGCTTCAACAGAGTTCTCCTCCTCCTTCCCCACCCTTTTAGCATACCCTGAATTCTAATTGTCATCCCCCATCTCTGCTCATCCTCTCAGCAGTCCTTTATGGAATGGATAAATGGACCTCCCTGGGCTTCAATTGTTCCTCAGATCATGGCCTGGTAAATCCTATTTTGTAAGCTGTCTGATGCCTTTGAGATGATATTTTTTTAATATTTTGTTGAATTTTTCTAGTGTCTTGAGTAGGAGGATTTGTCTATATTACTGCCAATAACAGGGCATATAGAAATGTAGATATTAAATATAGGTAGTAGCTTCTTAAAAGTACAATGAAAAAAAATCCTTAAAGAAAAAAAATTCAACTTTCATTCACGATTCTACTTTTTTAGCTCAGGTGGCAGATCACTACTTAGGAATACTTTATGGTGGTCTTGGTACTATGTAATTTGAGGAAAGTTACTTCTTTCACTAGCAAGAATACTTTTACTGATATGAATATAAGAATTGAACATCACCTCTATTCCAAAAGCTGTTCCAAGAATTTAGATTACAAAGATGAGAAAGACATGGCCACTGACATCAAGTGGCTTGAAGTCTAGATTCCTTATTGGTAAACTGGTTATTTTTAGAATTATCAATTCATGATAAAAAGGCTTTTGTTAAATACATGTAATACAATGATAAATACATTTAAATTCTAAACATGTATATTTGAGTTCCTATCACTTTTCAGCCTAAACGTGAGGGCATTTTAAACAATATATTTTCTAATGCATTTGCCTTCCAATAAAGTTTATTATCAAATATGTTCTTTTAAAGTATTCTGGAGCCCTGGACTGTTTGGCTCAGTGGTTAGAGCATTGGCCCACGGACCAGAGAGTCCCGGGTTCGGTTCCTGCTAAGGGCATGTACCTTGGTTGCAGTTTGTCTCCGGCCCTGGTTGGGATCGTGTGGGTGGTAGCCACTCGATGTGTCTCTCTCACATCAATCTTTTCCTTTCTCTCTTTCTCCCTCCCACTCTGTCTTAGGATACATGCAGAAACGTCCTCAGGTGAGGATTAAAAAAAGTATTCTGGAAAAGCTCAGCCATTGTGGCTCAGTGGTTGAGCATTGACCCATGGACTAAAACGTCACCAGTTCCATTCCTGGTCAGGGTACATGCCTGGGTTGTGGGCTTGATACCCAGTAGGGGCTGTGCAGGAAGCAGCCAATTGATGTTTCTCTCTCATCAATGTTTCTCTCCCTCTCCCTTCCTCTCTCTCTAAAAAAATCAATAAAACATATTTTTAAAAAAGTATTCTGGAAAAATAACGCTGCTTCATAAGAGATCTTAAATGCCAAGGTCCTCTTTTTACTACAGAGATAAATTATCTGTGTCCCTGGGTTATGCATATATGCATGTAAGTTCTTTGGTTAATCTCTTCCTGCCCCCCTCCCCACTTTCCTCTGCGATTCATCAGTCTGTGGGCATAGACAATAGTGTGGTGAAACCCTGGGAAGTGGTGGGAGCAGGATGGAGGGGGTCAATATGGGAAACAAGAGGAGACAACTGTAATACTTTAACAATAAAGATAAACTTTTTAAAAATAAAAGGTTAAGATAAAGAAAAAAGAGTTAAGTTCTCATTTCCTGGTCTTTTTACTATTATAAACTCCTGGAAAAAAACTATTCACTTTGAATCATAATTATTTTTAATCAGAGCTTTCCCTTGGTAGGTGTTCAAAGTCCTCTAAAAAAGCCTCTAAGTATACAAGTGTCTCTGGACTCTAAACTAAGTGTGACAGATTTCCTGAGACCTGAACTTCACCCACAGAGATTATTTAAATGAACCCAGCCTCTCTGAGATGAATCAGTGAGTAGAAAGGATAAGTGCAGAGAATTTAGTGAATGAGAATGCAGTAGATTCATTATGTGGTTTTGGACAAGTTACATAACTTTTCTGGATTTGTTTTCTCATCCATGATAGATCTGGCTCCTGGATGATATATCTCTAAAGTATATATAACTTCCAGCTCTCAAATTCTGACATCCTTCTAGAGCTGAGAGGGAATGTTTGGTCACCTGAGTTTAAAATAAATTAGAAGGAAAAATAGAAACTAAAGTTCAATATGTAAGTAAGATATTAGTACAATAATCTGTAAGAAGATGAAAACCTATATTATGTTAGTGGCCACCATTATAATGGCCAGTGGAGATAAAAAAAAAAAAAAAAAGACTGAGTTCTGGGGAGGCTGTGGTTCTCCAGAGGCCACCTTCTCTCAATCTTCCCTTCCATCTTTCTTCTGCTCCCTTTCTAGTACACTCTTCCTTTAGGAATTTCCTTTAATTTTTCCATATGAGAGGGCAACAGTGATTGATCTGAAGGGAGAAAATGAAGTAACTCTTGCTTCAGTTGAAGTGCATTGTTTTTTGTTTGTTTTTCTATTTTGAGAGAGAGAGGAAAGGAGAGGGAGAGAGAGAGAGAAACATTGATGAGAGAGAACATCGACTGGCTGCCTTCTGTATGCCCCTCACTGGGGATTTGGCCCACAACCTGGGCGTGTGCCCTGACCAGGAAAGGAACCAGGGACCTCTTGGTGCATGGGTCGAGGCTCAACCACTGAGCCATACAAGCTGGGCCAGTTGGAGAGCACTGTATATTTGTCTTGTGGTCTCTTACTCTGAATGCAGCTATGAGGCTCTTCTGGACAGTGTAATGAAAATCAAATGGAGCTAGCAAATGCTTTTGGACAAATCATATAAATGCAGTGTTTTCATTTGTAGAACGAGGGGATCAAACTTCCGTTTATATATATCCTGATGCCTATTAATTCTTTTATATCTCTGTCATCCCCACAGCTGGGCTTGTTTTATTGCCAGTAGGCAGCTTGTCCCGTGCTCAGCTCATTTACACACATAGCCTGGCATATAGTGAATATCCAGTTAACATTCATTGTTCAGGAAGGAAATAAACTTCTATTAGTACTTACTGTGAATCAGTCACTGTCCAGGTCTTTTTCATATGCCTTCTTTTAATCCTTTCAACACATTTGTGAGGTAGGTATCACTACTCTAGTTTTTGAAGATGTGGATATAGATATTCAAAGGTTGAATTATCAGTATCAAATGATAGTAAAATAGAGCCTTAGTTCTGCCACTTCCTTTATATGTGACAGGTTCTTTTTCTAAGCCTCAGTTTCCTTATCTGTAAAGTGGGTATTTGTGAGGGTTCGAATAGGGTTGGCAGATTTAGCAAACAAAAGAAATCAGAAAGAATATCCCTAATGCAACATTTTATATTCTACCTAAAAAATTATTCTACCTTTACGTGAAGTTCAGATGTAACTGGGCACTCCTATATTTTATCTCCTATTTTATTTGTTAGCGTTATGGTTATGACAATGCACGTAAAGGACTTAGACCCGTCCCTAGCACTTAGTGCGCACTCTGTAAACGCTATGCTCATTAAATTTTGGTTCTGATTCCAAAGTCTTTTTTTTTCCACCACAAATACGCTGAGCTGTTTCCACATAAAATTTCAGTCAGCAAGGGTAATAATACTCTACGTTCATATTCATGCTTTATCGTCTTCAGAGCGCTTTCAAAAGGCCTGGCCAATGGCGGAAGGCTCTTGGGGAGAGCGACAGAAGCCGGGCAGTGGGAGACTGCCATAGCCATCCTAGCACGGGCAGCTCAGTCCGGCAGGCCGGGACAGCCCCCGCGCCTGGCTCCGCCCCACCCCGCCCCGCGCCCTCTCGGCCAGTCAGCGGCCGCGCTGCGCCCCGCCGAACTCCTATAGGTCCTTCCGGGGACAGGCGAGGCCTTTCTATTTTCCCGCCTTCCCCAGCCTCTCCTCAGCCCGAAACCCCACACTGGCCCACCACGTCTCCACCCTACCTTCCGTGAGAGCCCCGCCCTTCCGGGTACCGCATCCCTTTTTCCCCCACCCGTCCTTCTGGGCAGCAGTCCCGAGGCCAGCCCTTCTGTAGGAGGTGGGAGGGGACAGGAAGAGGCGGACTGAGAACCCCTCGGGAGACGCTGCGGGAGGCGGGAACTGGAGGGAGGGGCGGGGCTAATCTCCTTGGCGCCACGTTGCTATGGCAGCGGGGGGAAGGGCGGAGGGAGCGGGAGGAAGCAAGCGGGAGGGGGATGTGGTGCTACCGCGGCCGCCACCGCAGCTGCCGCTGCCTGCTCGTTGCCGAGTCTTCCCGGAGGCGGCTGCTGGAAGCTGCCGGGAGCAGCTGCGGTGCTCTGCCATATTGTGTCTTCCCCTACCCGGTCCTTGCCTCCCCGCTGTGGTGGCCGAGCTGACGGTGAGTCCCGGGTGGAACGCCGCCCTCTCTGGCCGGCGCTGACCGGCGTCCGTGCTCCCCGGCCCGGGTCGCGGCGCAACTCCTGGGCACAGGCAGCGCGTGCAGCCGGCGCCCGGCGTGGGGCCCGGAGGCCGCTGCCCTGTGACGCGCCGGACATTCTTGTCCTAAGGATTTGGCGCCGGCTCGGGGATCTACCCAGCGCGCGGCTTAGGTTGTGTGTGTGCTCCCCGGGGGTGTCGAACTGACAGGCGTGCGGCCCGTGAGGAGTTCGGAGTTCCGAGTTTTTACTGAAAGGTATGGACTGCCCGGGAGCGGGTGTTGCGCGGAGGAAACGGGGCGAGGGGTGCCGTCTCTGGAAAGGCTGGGAGGTGGCCCCGAGGACACTTCGGGTTAGCCTGGGGAGACTCTGCCGTTCAAAAAGTGCCTGCCCCAAGCCCACTAGGAGTCTTTGCACAGCCCCCTCGCCTGGCTTGGCGTGGAGCGGGACGTGCGGGGCGTGGAGTCCTCGTCTGGCCCCAGGCGGACTCTGGCTGGGCCCGGCCGAGCCGTGTCCGGGAAGGCGTCGGGCGCCGCCCGGAGTGAACTTCGGCAGTTGGGTGGCGGGGCATTGGGGTGGACAGGTTCGGGTCCGGATGTGGGGGTGGCCGACCCCTGCACCCTCAGGCCCCTCCTCCAGCGGCACCCCGGGGCCTCTGAGGGTGGCTGTCTAGGTGGGATGGGAGTTGGTGTTTCATCGCCGCAATATGGACACTTCCTGTTCGCCTGCTCTCGGGGCCGGGTTGCCTGGCCCGCCCTCCCTCCTGGGCGTGAGGTTTGAGGGCGTGCGTGAGGCTTTGAGCCTTCCGAGTTCGCTTCACCGCAGCCGCAGCCTCGAATCTGGAACCTGGGGGGCGGTGGAGTCCGGGGAAAGCGGTCCAGGTGCATAGTGCTCCATCTTACTCAACTTCACCCCTTTACCTTTTCTCGGAATGCCTCTTCCCACCGTGGCTCACGGGAGCTGGGGTACCCAGTTCATTGGGGCCACACTCTTGGGATCTTCTTTGATCCGATTTCTACTTAAAGTCTCCTTAAAGCGGCCTCTGTATTTAGTTTTCTACTTTCAAGATAAAAGTCTTATATGTAAAGAAATGATATACACCTTCTTTTACCCGAACTCCGAGGTGGGGGGAGAAGGGCGATTATCTATTTATGGTTAGTTTACGCTGTTTCTCCCGGCCTCTTTATAATTGTGACAGCCACGTGGCCGGCTGAGTAGGAGAGATTGTCCTAGCGCCACTAGGGCTGAGGCTTCGCTGGTAGCCAGGGGCTTTGTATCCGTGCTGTAGCTTTGCGTCCACATTTATTTTGGTGTTTTCTGAGATGGGGAAGTGGAAAAAGCTGAATTGTACATGTCCTAATCGTAAGACTTATCTGTTTCCTTGTAGTCCTTGTAAGGTATATATTGACATTTTCGCCCTCCTTTGCCGTTTTGATGATTCATCTTTAAAATCTCAGCAGTAGTAGATACCCATTAAAGAGTGGTGGGGGATAGAATGGTACATTATGGAGTTTTCCACCCGGGAGGTGCGGGGGTCGTTTGAATTTTAAAGCCATTAATGAAAGGTTCTGGTGTAATCAGAAATAATCACATTCTGGAGGATTTCTTTGTGATAGTTTTATAAGAATCTAATTTTTTTTCTTTTTACAAAAAAGTTGTGACCTGAAAAGATGTGTGTGTGTGTGTGTGTGTGTGTGTGTGTGTGTGTATCCATTGAAACTAGTTTAGGGATGAAATAAATACTCGGTTGATTTGTGTAGGTGCACTTTCTTAAACTTTTATATTTTGGAAAGGTATTAATCATGAATGCTAACATGAACAGATTTTATTTTAAGGGAATGAAATTTAATTTTTAGAATACATAAAAATTAAATGTCAAAAGATTGGATATCCACAAATCCAAACTTTTAGAGTGTTTGGAACATTTTAGAATTTAAGTACAATCTCTGGTTACTAATGTTCCATGTTTCATTATTTCCGTAACATGTTTTTATTTGAATTGGTTTTACTTGAAGAGTGCTAAACCACAGGAAATATTTAGAATGTGTAGAGAAGTTATAGCAGCAACATTTATTAGAATTTTAATTACATCATAACAATGGTTCTTTTTTTTTTTTTTTTTTTTTATCCTCACCCAAGGACATTTTCCCATTTTTTTGTTCAGGTAGAGTGGGAGGGAGAGAGAGGAACATCGATGTGAAAGGAACACATCGAGAGGCTGCCACCCGCACGACTGACCAGGGCCGGTGACAAACTGCAACCGAGGTACGCGCCCTTAGCGGGAACCGAACCCGGGTCTCTCAGCACCGCAGGCCGTCGCTCTAACCGCTGAGCCAAACCGGCCAGGGCATAACAATGGTTCTTAATCAATGAAGTTAACAAATAAAAATATCAGAGAGCCCTGGCCGGTTTGGCTCAGCTGTTAGAGCATTGACCTCGGTTCGGTTCCCGCTAAAGGCACATACCTCGGTTGCAGTTTGTCCCCGGCACTGGATGGGTTTTGTGGGTGGCAACCACTTGATGTGTCCCTTTCATGTCGATGTTTCTCTCTCTCTCCCTCTCTGTCCCTCCCACTCTATCTGAACAAAAAATGGAAAAATGTCCTCGGGTGAGGATAAAAAATATATATATAACAGAGAGGCTTTAGTGCAGAAAAGATAATTCGATGGAGAAATAAATGTGTCCTGACCACTGAGAGCAGTGGTTAGGTGAGAGAGAAAAATAATTGAAATCATGAAATACATAAAGCAGAAAGCACTGAAAACACACTGGAAGATAACTACATTAATAATTATGGGATCTGACTATCAAATAAAACTTAAAAAAACTGCTGTCCAAACAAGACTTAGTCTTGTTCTCATGTAAGTCTATGGCTTAGCTACTTGTGTTGTTTTTCACTTGTACCTGGGTTTTGCATAAAAGCAAAAAGGTCCTCCAAAAACAAACTTGTGAAGGCCCAGTGCCTTGCTGATTTCTTAGGAAAGAAAAAGAGGCCTAATTTTTGATCCCTATTCTCAGATTGAAGAGACTAGATGGACACATGTGAAAATAATAGTGTACAGTGTTAGATGATATAGTTAGGAGTTAAATTGTATGGTGCAAACAGGTACTGTAAGAGTTAAGAGGAGAAAACTAGGCATTTGAGTAGATAGGGGAGGCTTCTTAAAGAAATAAGCTTCTTGCTTTCTAATGTGTTACTCCCATTAGATCAACCCTCCTGAAGATTGTATCACTCTAATGACCAAAACCCTTTATATCAAGCATGAATACCAAATTTCTTCTCAAGACTTTTCAAACTTTGGTTTCTGTCTTCTCCCATCTTAACTTCCACTGACCTATAGGAACTATTTATTCACTACTTTAACTTGGTATACCAATTTTCTTTTTTTACTTGTTGATATAACATTTTTCTATTTAAATGCACCTACACACATATTATTTACTGAAGATCTGCTCAAGCTTGAGTTTTGGCTGAAATTTTTATTGCCCTGAAAGTCTTAGAATAGTACAATTTTAGATCTGCCTTTATCTCTTCAACTGAACATTCTTTCTCTTTTCTAGTAGCATATAATTCTTTTGGGCTGTAACATTCGGTACTGCCTTGTTTTCATTTAATAAATTTTTTTTTTTAGTACCTACCATGTGCTAGGCACTGTTATAGGAATTGAGGATATAGCCATGAATAGACAAATTCCCATATTCTTTTGTTAGTTATCTTTTTAGGTTTTATCATCCCCAAGAAGATGATAAAGTCTTTGACCCACCCAGAAGAGTCTTGTCTTCTCAGATATATGTTATATGCTTAGTGAATATTTGATTATTTTTTTGAATAAAGGAAAGGCGGGACTTATGGTTTGAGGTAGAGAGATGATGGAAAGGTCTTTCTTTACATGTGAAGGGTACAAAAGAATAACCAATTATGGATGGCCTTTAAAACATCACTTCTGAATTTAAATATGATTTAGTACCCCAAAAAGATGGCATTTGAGCTTGGAAATATATGATAAAATTCTTATTTGAGGAAGATTTATTTGACAGAAGTGTGTAGGACTAATTATTAACTGTGGGAATGAAAAGGAATGGGAAGGAGAGGGATCTATTGAAGGAAAAAACTAATAACTTTGAGAAGATTTAGAAGGGGAACATCACAAAGATGGAGAGTTTAGTTAGTTGAATGTAAGGTGAGTGGGAGATATCAAGTTGAGTTTTACCTTTAGTGACTAGAAGTTAGAAGTGTGGGATAATTGTCAGTATAGAACTGACAGCTAATGTTACGAATTTTTGTAATACAGTTAATAATTGAAGTGTTGAAGACTAAGAATGGCATTTTGGGAAACAAGAATTCAAGGGGCATTTGCTTTGGTTATATGTGACTTCATAATAATACTATAGACTTATATGATAACTATGGTATTGTTTTATTAATAACTTTATTTCCACGGTATCTCTGTTTTTAGCACCAAATATAAAGGGACCAAAATAATGCTTATCATTTGCTTCCAAGGGATTTTGATTCATGTATTCCTTACTTCCCTTACCCTAATATATATATATTTTTATTTAAACAAACTTTTTCTTTTAGAATAGTTTACATTTACAGAAAGTTACAAGATAGTACACAGAGTATACTTTATCCAGATTTTCCTATTGTTAACATCTTACATTGCTATGGTACATTTGTCCACAACTAAAGAAACAAAATTGCTACATTACCATTAACTATGTACTTTATTCAGATTTCACCAGTTTTACTGTAAGGAAGGCCTAAAAGTCTAAATAAAGCTCTTAAGTAGTCAGAAGATATGCTGTTATCATAAAGGTTAAATATACGTACCATAAAAATAACCGCCTTTTTGGTACCAACACAAGAGAATGGAAAATTACTTTGATTCTCCATAAGCCGGTATTACTGTGGAATTACTAGGACAGTTTAATTACTATTAATTATCTTAATATCTAATAA